TCGCCGGAGTTCTGACCCCATGTTAGCCTTAAGTGCTTCCAGACTTGCCCTAACTGCTTCTAATTCGAGGATATTTTTCGGTTGACATTTCCTTAGCTCTATGACTGTCTCCCCATCAGTTATGTTGTCGTCGTCGGTTTGCTGTTGCGCTGAAGTGCGGCTATGTGTAATCAGTTGTGAACAGCCACAACAAACCCAGTTAAGCTTCAAGTTATCTAGGTATAGTCAGTAAGCACGGGAGTGAGCTTACTGCAAGTACGATGAAACCACCGGTCACAGGTGTCGCAGGAGATAGCATTTATTACGGCTTTGGAACACTTCTTACACCTCCCGCTGTGACTCCAGGTTGATCCTATAGAGTTATGCCTAGCCATTTTTACTACTTTGTGGGAGGGCGGTGGACAAAGGTTGGATGAAGTGGAGTGAGAATTGACCTAATGAGTAATAAGCTCTAGCAAATGGAATAGAAAAGCCCGATGGGGAGCTGGCCAGCAGGACGAAAAAAGAACGTGTGGAAACGGCTTACTTTTAATAGGTCGTCACAGAATGCTTAATAACTCCTTGAGCTCACTGTTAATCCACCTCAATCCCGTGGGGAGCGTGAATGTAAGTGCATCATCAATACTCCTTTCGGAAAGACTCTCGATTTATCCTGAATTTGAAATAGTTGTCTGCCACGGTTGACTTGAGTACAGCGATCCTCTCAGTGAAGTTCGCTACTGATCAAGATGATCCACCAAAAGCGAATTGATCTTCCTCGTTCTGAAATGTGTCCAAAATGTTTAAGTTCAGTTCAGTTCAGTTCAGTTTTCACAGAACGAATATGGCTCTTTCCGATCGAGCGTACAGTTCGTTGTGTTTTTGGTGGATGGGAGTAGCTTCCAACACTGCGTACAGTCGATTAGGTGTTTGTGATCCTCTCAATTTAGCCCCGTTGCCAGAATCTTGACTCCCTGGTGGTGTGCATACACTAATATATAGGGCATAGAACCGTTAATGTGGCAAAAGCTTAAGTTCAGTTTGCACAGGACGATGTGTGGCCCGGGCCAATTTTGCGTCCAGATTGATGTGTTGTTGGCTGTTCTTGTGACTTCCAACACTGTGAGTCAATAGGTTTTGTCTGAAAGGCAGAAGGTGAGATGCAGTATCACATCCTAGGCGATGGCACTCAGGACTAATAGGTACTTACCGTCAAACTGTTTCTGGGAAGGTAGAAGCCCAACAGTCATCTTATGCCCCCTTGAAAGCTATGACGTTCGAGTTACTTACCACTTTTTCAGGTAGACTATTCCAATAAGGTATTACGCGAATTGTAACGAACTTGGCACGAATGTCCAGCCTTACAAGAATACGTTGCAGCCTTAAACTAGGTACCCTAGTGCCACTTCAGGGGATGAACTGGAACATGTCCTCAAACTTAAATCCGGAGAGACCGTTCATGATCATTAAGACTTCTATGAGATCCCCCTTGACTCTACTTTTTGCCAGAGAGAACAGATTAAGGTTCTTGAGTCCTTGCTCGTTGCTCTCACCTCTTTGTCCCACCATCATCCTTGTAGCCAGGCGTTGCACTCTTCTAGACATTCGATATCTTTCCGAAAGTAGGGTGCCCATGCTTGAACACAATATTCCAGGTGAGGCCTGACTATGGCTTTGTACAGGGGACGAGAACCTCGGATCTCCTACACGTAATCGTGTACACGAAAGAGTTCCCTTCAAGCTATGGTGACTGCCCTCTGACATTGCTGAGAGGATTTGGAGTCGTAGGGTATAATTACTCCCAGGTCCTTATTTTCTCTTACTCTGAAGCTGGATTTCCTTCTGTATGTCAAGTTGAGCTTCTGCTATTAGAAACTGACACTTAGCTTTG